AGGTAGCTCCCTTTGCTGATTAGATTTTATTAATTTGTTATTACAGAACTACCCTAAGGTAGACTCCTAAGGTTTTACGGTTATATGATAAGTGTACAACAAGCTACATGTATAACTTTAGTTATTGTCTAATTTAAGTAGTCCGCCATATAGACGATTGACCATCTGTTGGTTCTACACTATGCTGCTATACCTGCAATCTGCTTGTGGATTACCTATTTAAACACTTTGATTATTAACCCTTCCCCCATTCCAAACTAACGTTATCACTATGGCTGACCGCTTAAACCAGCTGGCTCATCTGTAAATCTATTTACCACATGACTTAGGTCCTTTTAGGATGTGTTTACTCAATGTATTATGAGCTGCAGAGCTCCAGTTAATCTTAGAAGCATATCTACTAGAGCGGTCCATGCTCATTTTATAGATTCACCTAGCTTAGACCTTTGTAGATATTCACACAACCCCAGTTCTTACTGTAGCTCTCCACTGGTGTGTGTTAATCAATTTCTCTAGATGTTTCACGAAGTAAATCCTCCTAAATCTAGTTAGCCACCAAGCCAGATTGGTGCTGCTGATCTTCTACACAGATACGGACTTACTCGCATCTATCTCGATCTACATCCTTTGAAACAGTTTCGTTTTGGATCAAGCGTTAGCTAGTATGACTGTCAAAAGCTATACTACTTCACCTACTCAGGATTTCTACTATGCAGGTCCCTTGCCCGTATATCCAATGCAAATTTATTCGTGTAACATTATATCACACTCCCAATGTCAACAATTGACTTGGTGCAATACCATTTTTTACAGGGTTTTGTCACATCCCCCAGGACTCACTTTTTGGGAACAGGCAGAGTTTTCCGTAAGTTTGGTATACAGATCTAGGTATTATTCAAATTCATTGACAGTGGGATTTAAACTCCAGACCTATTGCATGGCAGTCTGACAACCCAACCACTATACTAGGTCACCAGGCCTGTTTTAGAGCTTTTTGCTTAGTGAACTAAAGAGAGTTTCTTAATAAACTTATAAAGTTTTCTATATTCATATCTTTAGCTCTATTTTGTATTCAAGTGATCTACAGAGAGAGATTGTAAAACAATAGATGATAATTGTCTAAAGTATTATTTATTATTAATAAATTTATATATTGTTATATATTTATTTTAAAAAGTATTTAAAACAGGCATTTGCACTATCATAACATTGCTATCAAAAAATTTATTAAACATAAAACTAATACTAAATTAATATAAACAAAAATAATATTATTAGAAAAAATATTATGCCATTATGCTAAATGTAAAGGAGAAAAGTATATTAAATAGTAAAATTATATTAATTATTTTAGTTTACTTAATATTGGTCTATCTGATATAAGCACAACACAATTGCTATTATTAAGAAAAATAAAACCTAAATATGAAATAAAAGAGCTACTTTCTGAATTTCTTCAACATGATAAAGATTCTGAAAGTGAAGATTCAAAAGATAAAAGTTCAGAAAGTGAAAGTTCAAAAAGCAATGATTTAGAAAATAATAGTTCAGAAAATGATAGTTCAAAAAATAATAGTTCAGAAAATAATAGTTCAAAAAATGATAGTTCAGAAAATGATAGTTCAAAAGATAAAACTAGTAGTATAACAAGTGATAAAGATGATAAAGAGAGCAATAATTTGGAAAACTCTTTCCGTCGATCACTTCGACCAATTTTGGAGCAGAAAGAAAAATCAAGTTAACTCAAAGATTATACTAAGAACAAGCATTAGACTCCTTAAGTAAAAAGGAAAAAAAGAAAGAAATACTCGAAAACTACTTCAACTAAACAACTCAAAGTTTTTAATAATTAGCTCCTCAAATTGATACTATAACAAACCAAAACCAACTTAACAATATCTGGAACAAAATTCATAAAGCTTTAACCAAAGTAGCTACTAAACATATCCCTTTTAAAAAGATAAGAACTATTAAGGAAGCTTATAACACATCTTCTACTAAACAACTACCTCTCTTTTACAGATACAAACAAATTCAATATCTTAAAAATCATTCATTATCTCCAAATTTTTTAACACTTCTTCATAACTACTAAACTAAATATCCAGACAACTTAATCTCAACTAATTCAATTCTTCACTATCTGACCAAATCAAAAATGAATTTCAGCTTATCAAAACTGCTCTTAACTACCAACAAAAGCAAGCCATCTACAAAGAAATTCAACAAAAAATTGAAAACTGAAACAAAGTCTTCAATGAAACTCCTAAACTTTTCTATAAAAATATTTTAGAAAAATATAATAATATAAATATTGACAGACTACTACTTAATAACATACTTCTTACGAACCAAAATGAAATTTTAAATGCAGTCTATTACCACTTTTTAAGCTATTTTGAGGAAAAACCACTACAATCTATTCTACCTTATCAGAATTTTTTCAACTCTGTCAACTACATCCCGAACTTGAAATATACTACCAAAATCTCTTTGATAATATTTCAGACCAGGAATAAAATGAAATTATTACTAATCTACCAAATTAAAAAGCAGCTGAACCTTCTGAAATCTGCTATAAACATATAAAATATGCTAGTCAAAAAGCACAAAAA